CCCCCCTTCCAGGCCAAACCACTCGCTACTTTCGCCTCCGCCTCTTTTAGTGCCTGCAGTGCATGTTGATTTATCTCTGTAGCCATTGAACATATTGTTTCTCCTCCCACACCCCCGCCAACCTCCAGATCTTGGCAGAAGTGTTAGAAGTGTTTTAAAACACACACGCACAATATATTCAACCCCCCCCCTTCCCTCTGTCAACACGAGGGGGGTAAGGAAGGTTTCTTTCTCGGCTGGGCTGGGGAGGAGGGATCGTGAATCGGCCAAGTTTCTCTCTCGCTCGCCCTCTTCGATTTCGAGGTACCTGTTTGTATAATAATCATAATCATGGGTGGTAACGGTTTGGCCGCGGCGGCGCCCCCCCCCCCCCCTCCCACTTTCTCATGCTGGCTCTGAGCAACCGCTACAGCCTATATAAGGAATGACGCTTACTTTTCAGATTTAACGACTCTCTCTTCTTTTTCTTCCCTTCTTGGTGCATACTGATTACTTTAAAATTAGTTGCAAAACTGTTGAAACGCGGCGGAATAAATACTCAGAACTTTGGTGTTGTTGGAATTATTTCTTAATCTTCTGGAAAATAACAGGGAAGATCTTTGCCTCTCTGTGACTTCATAGGATGTGAACCGGGAGGTTTTGTAACCTTCCCTGGCAGTTTTTGGGTTTTTTTTTAGTTTTCATGTGGCATTTCCTGCCTGTGTACGGTTATGGATAGGAAGGGGTTTCGTGGTGGGTTGAAATCATGACGTTTGGAAGGAGTTTTAATATCTCTGAATAGGAAGGGGGGGGGGGGGAGGCATCACAATGTGTGAATTTCACATATAAACACTGGCCTTTTAGCTGACTAAAAGTTGATCTGGTGGTTCTGCACTAATAGTTCTCTGCTCTGTAGAGGTGGATTTATTTTTAGCTGGATATATGCGGGATATTGCAATGTTAATTTCCTGTTCAAGACCACATGTTTGTGTGTGTGTGGTATTGAAGCTTTATTAAAGGTAAGTTAAGAAAGTGCTGTTCTCTCCTTTACCTTATTTAAAATGTTAATGATAGTGAAAGGGGGCTTTTCTTGTTGCTGACGACATGTGCATGACATGTGAGTCTGAACCACCCAGTCTCTGGGAAGGAGCTGTAAACATGTTTACCTGAACAGGAAAGAAAATGGATTTTCTCTTAAAGATTCTCTTAATTGGAATATCATACCTCTAAAGCATATCAACAGATGCCTTGAGACAGTCCCCGAATACCTAGCTGTTGAAACCAGCGGGGGAGAAGGGATTCTGACGGCTGCAGCAAATGGCAACTTGTGCAGGTAGAAGAAAAGATGGTGTGTGAGGTTTCTCTAGCATGCATGTCAGCCCTCTCCTGTCTGCTGCTTTCATTCTCAAGGGAGGGATTTATTTACCATGCTTGCTGTCAGTGTTTTTCCTTTGTGCTTAATATTAGGAAAAACATATTTGAGGGTGTTTAGCACAGATCGTTTTGTCTGCAGCATGCATGACTCGTAGAAAACAAAAGGTGTATGGGATACAATGCCATTCCAGGTACCTTCTCATTTGTCATCATTCTTGGTACAGATCATCGCACCTGTTCTCAGGTTTTACTGTTAAGCCTTTGATTAGATACTAGGTAATTCTGATGAAAATACAGCCTTTTATAAACAAATTAAGAATAACCCTCCCTGGCTAGGCTAGATAATAGATCCTGGATGATAGAGATTTCTCAGCAGTAGGTTCCTGTTTGACTTGCAAATGTTTACTGATCAGAATTGCTAGGGAAAGTTAACCCTTAAACCTTGGCCACAAATAGGCAATAGAAATGATTTCTCTAGCAAATCGCCGCCATAAATGTGCTGCTGTTCTCTTGCCTTTCAGAGATAAGCTCCATGTCTGCTAATCCTCTACAATAATTTTTCTGTCCTCAGCATTAAAGGACAGATTATGAGAAACTGATTCACAGAAGTATGGTTTCACCAAATTATGTTAAATGTGGCTGCTGATAGAACAGAATGAACTGTAGAAAAAATATAGAATTAAAAACTGCTTAATATTAAGCACTTCAGTAGAAAAGAAGTGTATCTGCCTTAATTTTTGTAAACTATTACTGTTGCCACCTTTCCCCCCTCTTCCTCCTGCCTGCCACCTCCCGTAGTATAAAGGTATACTTTCTTGGTATGTTAGTGTACCTGTATTTGAAAATATGTGTCACTTTAAATCTCTACAGGTAATGTCCTACTACAAGATGGTAATAAAAATGTTTCTGTATTGTCACAGAGGAACCTGCAGCAGTGGCTGGCACTTCCTGTCTATTAGCTTAAGTCCATTCTGCAAAGCTTTTCTCAAATACCATTGCTTTGAAGTATCAGCATGCCTAGGAAATCACAACAGCTGACAATAATTCAAGAACAGAGTGTTTATATCGTACATATATTTCATAGTTATGTAATAATAGAGAAATTCTTGTAACTGGGTAGGACTGTAGAACTGAAACTATAATTTGATCTAAGGTAATTCTTACCTCTCTTAAGTGGGCTCAACCTTAAATTAGCTATCATATTAAACATGGCACTTTGACATGACATTTGGGGTAGGATATTTGCTCAAAATATGAACAGCATTTCCTTTTTGTCTCACAGACTCATCCAGGCAATATAGCAAAACAGCATCAAGACTAAAATAAATAAACTTGTCAATATCTTTGTTTGAAGGAATCTTTGGCTAGGCCTCTCTATTTTCTGTTAAATTCCTGACAATTTCAAGCAGTAATATCTACTCCTACCATTTTTTCAACTAATGCAGGATATGTTCCGCAACTTAATTTTGATCAATCATAGTAACAAGTATGCTTGAATATACACCTGCCAAGTACCAAAATCATAATACTACCTACCACTTATGGATTGTTCAAAGCACATTACTTATGTGATCACTGACCTCTACATCAGCCCTCTAAAGTTGGTCAGTATTGTTCCCCTCTTGCAAATGATGGAACTGGAAAAAGGCCACATAATGAATTAACTTTTGAGGTGAGATTCCAACCTCTAGCCAATATATTGCCTCAGGACTAATAGCATTGATGTTTTCTGGGGCATTTTTTTTAGAATGGCACAATGCTAGCAGTAAAGCTGTCATTGCAGGTTCTTGTACTTCCTCAATGTGCATTAATTTTGTGTATGTGCATTGTAGACACGTGTAAGTATAATCATAAATCTGGCCCACGCAGAAGCAGTAGGGATGGAAGGGTAGAGCTGCTTGTGTTCAAGGAAATTTTGCTAATGCATTCCTGATAAGGAGACTGCATTTTTATCTTCCTTTCTCATTCCTGTCTTGTCCTCCCCCCATCCTCTTCAAAGGAGAATGTTGCTTGTGGGACAATGTATTCTTTTCCTCCTTAACCTCTTTTCAGAGGCAGACTACCACTTCCCTCCGTCAAATTTTCTTGGGGCCAAACAGACATTTTCCTTCCTGTTTTGTGTAATACCTCAGAGCACATTGTTTCCAAGCTGTTGACCTTCCTTTTGCAAACCCCTAGTACAGTAACTGTTCTATGTTAGGTGAAATTGTATATTTCAGTGATTCATGCCACATATTCACCGTCTAGACTTGGGCAAGTTCTTTTGGCCTCTGTTAAACATCCATACAGAAGATTATTAGTGATGTAGATCTCTTCCATTGTTAGGGGAGCTACGCTTCATCCAATTTTTAGTGTGAATTTGGGCCTTGCATAGAATTGCAGCCTTATTGTTTATTTTGAAATTATGCTGGAGTTCAGTGTTAACTTTAACTGAATATCCAAACTTATTGCTGCTATAATTGTGTGAATTTTTTTCTAAACATAAGTATTTTCATATTCCCTCTCATAATGCTGGTTTCAAGCCAAAGCAATATAAATCTTACTTTTGGTTACTACAGTTATGTTTCTGCTTTCAACTTCTGTGTTTTTCTGCCTGTACAAGCTAAAATACCTTGTGTTCCTTAAAGTGCAGCAGCTTGCGCCTCAGTCTAACCATGGGTTAGTGTGTGTTTTTTTGGGGTGTATATTTTATTATTATTTGTTATTATCTGTAGAAATCAAAGGCATGTATATGTTTACATTTTAATGTGCTAATGGATCCAATCCTGCATACATGATAGGAAGTCCAATTGTACTCCATGATTTCCTTTTGAGTAAAATGTAGGTGCATGCTGTGCTCTGTAATACTATTTTAAAGGACATGAAATTGTAAAAGGAAGTTTTATAGAAGCTGTTATGTATTTACAATTTTCTGGAAGTTCAGTTTCTTCCTGTAAGTTCAAACAGTTCCAGAAATGTTGCCTGCATAAGCATGGCTGTTTGGGTTTTTTTCCAATTACAGCTGAAGGGGAGAGAGAAGCAGGGGGTGGTAGGCTTTGAATATCAGGAAATGTTACATCATCAGTGTCTTTGAGTCTAAGTCTTCCACCTCTGTCAAACCATTGTGTGATCCTTGCAAGTACTGTTTTCCTCAATTTCTGTTCACCTGGTGGTTTTGTGGGCACACCCTGCCACCTAGGTGCAGTAGCTGTAAATTACTTAATGATAACTCTAAATTTTCAGTTTGGATTTCTATGTACATACCTTCTATGGTATGTGACTCACAGCCCAAGTCTAAAAGCCCAGCACCTTGCCAGCACTGCTAGCCAGTACCTTGTGATTACTTGGCAGAAGAGAGAAAGCTAAACAAAACATAGGTGCAGAGACCATAGCAGCAACTCTACAAGCTGACAATTACTCCTGTGATAGTTGGGGGGATAGAAGCAGGCTTGGTGCATGCTGATGCAGCCAGGGGGGCTTGGTGCATGCTGATGCAGCCAGGGGGGCTTGGTGCATGCTGATGCAGCCAGGGGGGCTTGGTGCATGCTGATGCAGCCATGCTTCCCTGGCCTCAGCCTACCACTATCCACACGACAACACAACAAGGAAGGGGGACACTGCTTTTTTCACTGTAAGCAGCTCCATGGTATGAGTGGGAGGAGCTCTGAAAGGAATGCACACCATGCAGTTATACACATGTGGGTTTGAATCCCTTCCTGCAACTGTGTTCCCTTATACCAGGATGTACACTGAGAAGGAAACACAGTCAATCACAGCCTCATGCCTCTGTGGTTCAGTGGAGGTAGCTCTGATACGATGCTCAATACCTTTTTCTCTGAAGGGTTCAGGTCTGGAGAGGGGGTGGGCAATGATGAAGTACACCAGTCTTCTGTCAGGAATGGGAGAGAGAAGAGGAGGAGACTGTATTTATACCCTGCCCTTCACTACCTGAAGGAGTCACAGAGCGGCTT